GTGTGTGTGTCGCCGGGCCTGTTAGCGAGTGGACTTTGTCGTCATCGTAACCACTCAGCCCCTTGACCCTCTGTGTGTCCCGAGTGAAGGCTGGATTTGCTGACACCTCATATTACACACCCCAGTTTACTATCAAAGGTCCTGGTCCTGACCCAGAGATTAGAACCGAATAGATTGTCTTAAAGTAACAGCGTTATAAGCGATTTTAAAGTTATTCATCTGAACGTTTTGTGTGGTTTATTCCTATGTAGCGCATTCTTTCTTAGAATTTACTTTTCAAGTGGAGGTGACGCACAGTATCACGCAGCGGCAGGTGTACTGCATGTGGTTAGACTCCCCGTAATTACGAAGCGGTCGCCCCGTAAGCGCAGCACCTGGGGCACACACAGCTGCTGCAGGGTCGCTCACCGTGTTCCTGCTGTGCTCACATCCGCCACTGGCCTCACCACCGCCATTTGTACTTTTCAGTCCCTTCCCCTTTGCACTCACCCCCCCAGCTCCCTCCCATCGTGCAACTAACAGCTTGTTCTCTGTGTCTGTGAGTTTGTGTCTGTTTTGTTCATTCATGTTACTTTTTACCTTCCACATATAAGCGATATCGTGCAGTGTTTGTCTTTCCCCGTCTGACTTATTTCACTTCACATGTTACCCTCTAGGCCAGCGGTTCTCAACCTAAATACATCCTGCATATCAGATATTGACATGACGATTCATAACAGTAGCAAAATTACAGTTACGAAGTAGCAACGAAAATAATTTTATGGTTGGGGGTCACCACAATATGAGGAACTGTATTAAAGGGTCGCGGCATCAGGAAGGTTGAGAACCACTGCTCTAGGCCCACCCCTGTTGTCATAGACGGCAAGATTCCATTCCTTTTCACGGTGAGTGCATTCCGTCGTGTTCACGCACCTCTGCTGTTTTAGCCACTCGTCTGCCCACGGACACCCAGGTCGCTTCCGTATCTTGGCTGTTGTAAATTTTGCTGCAGTGAACAGAGGGGTGCGTATATCTTTTCAAAGCAGCATTTAGGTTTTCTTCAGACATATTCCCAGAAGTGGAATTGCTGGGTCACATGGCAGTTCTATTTTTAATTTTCTGAGGAATCTCCATACTGTTTCCCACAGCGGCTGCACGGCCTGCCTCCCACCAACAGCCATGAGGTCCCTTTCTCCACGCCCTCGCCCGCACTTGTCTGCGGATTATTGACGGCAGCCGTTCTGACAGGCGTGAGGTGGTGTTGCGTGTGGTTTTGATTGGAATCTCTCTGATGGTTAGAGACTTGGAGCGTCTTTTCGTGTGTCTGTTGGCCACCTGTGCGTCCTCTTTGGAGAAGCGTCTACACGGGTCCTCTGCCCTTTTTTAAATTGCATTGTTTGGGTTTGTTTTTTGTTTTTATGTTGAGCTATGTGAGTTCTGGATAAATTTGGATATTGACCCATTATCAGATACACCATTTGCAAATATCTCCTCCCATTCAATACGTTGCCTTTTGTTTCGGTGATGGTTTTCTTTGTGATGCAAAAGCTTTTTAATTTGATGTAGTCTCATTTGTGTGTTTTTCATTTGTTGTCTTTGCCCATATAAAGAAGTTACCAGACCCATATATGTGGGTTTGTCATAGATGGCTTTTATTATGTCGACCTCTACCCCCACTGTGCTGAGAGCCTTTATCATAATGGGTGATGGATTTTGCCACATGCTTTCTCCGCATCTAGTGATAATGATCATATAATGCTTGTCCGTCATTTTATTTACGTGGTGTATCACGTTCATTGATATCTGAATATTGAACCAACCTTGTATCTCGAGAATAAACCCCACTTGGTCACGGTGTATTATCCTATCAATGTGTTGCTGGATTTGGTTTGCTGATATTTTGTGGAGGGTTTTGCATCTATGTTCATCAGGGATGTTGGCATGTGGCTTTATTGCTTTGCAGTCTGTCTGGCTAGGGAGTCAGGGTGATGGTGGCCTCGTGAAATGAATTTGTGACGTTCCCTCTTCCGTTTTTTTGGGAGAGTTGGAGGATAGTGTTCCTTGAACGTTCGGTGGAATTCGCCGGTGAAGACATCTGGTTTGTTTTTTATTACCGATTTGGTTTCATGACGAGTAGTCTGTTCAGGTCTTCTGTTTCTTTATGAGTCAGTTTTGGGAAGATTGTATGTATATTTCCAGGAACTGATCCATTTGTTCTAGGTTGTCCAGTTTATTGGTATATACCTGTTTGTAATAGTTTCTTATAATCCTTTGTATTTCTGCCACTTCTCTTTCATTTCTGATTTTATTTTTCGGTGGTGGGGTGGGGTGGGGGCTCTCTCTTTTTTCTTGATGTGTCTGGCTAAACATTTATCAATTTTGTTTATCTTTTCATAGAACCAGCTCTTGGTTTTATTGATCTTTTTTATTTCTTATTATTTATTGTATTCATACTGGATCTTTCTACTTTAGTCTTTGCACTAGCTTTAATTGCTTGATTCCCTACTCTTACCAAGTGTTTGCCTTTGTCATGAGGTTTTTTCCCGCTCCTATATTTTCTTATTCATATATTTTGATCTTTTTTTTTTTTTTCTACCTAAACAAGCTCCTTTAACATCTTTTGTAATGCCTGTTAGTGGTGATGAACTCTTAGCTTTTTCCTATCCAGGAAACGCGCTCTCTCCTTCGATTCTAAACGATGCCCTTGCGGGGTAACCTCGGCTGTAGGTCCTTGCTGTTCATCACTGAATGGCAAATGCAGTCCCTTCTGGCCTGCAGAGTCCCTGCTGAGGAGCCAGCTGACAGTGGTATGGGAGCTCCCTCGCAGCTAACTGACTGCTGGCTTTTGCTACCCTTCACGGTTCTCTGTCTCTAACCTTCGGCATTTTAAATACGTTGTGTCTTGGTGCAGCCTCTTTTGTTTCCTCTTGTTTTGGGACTCTCTCTCTGCACTGCCTGGACTTGTAAGTCTATTTCCTTTGCCAGGTTAGGGAAGTTTCAGTCATTATTTCTTTAAATAGGTTTTCAATCCTTTTCTCTCTCTCTTCTCCTCTGGGACCCCTATGTTGTGAAACTTGTTATGCTTGATGTTCCAAAGGTCTCTTAAACTATCCTTTTTTAAAAAATATTTTTTTATTGATTTCAGAGAGGAAGGGAGAGAGAGAGAAACATCAATGATGAGAGAGAATTATTGATCGGCTGCCTCCTGCATGCTCCCTACTGGGGATTGAGCCCACAACCCGGGCATGTGCCCTTGACTGGAATCAAACCTGGGACCGTTTGGTCCTCAGGCCGACGCTCTATCCACTGAGCCAACCTGGCCAGGGCAAACTATCCTTTTTTTAAAAAAATTCTCTTTTCCTTTGCTGCTCTGATTGGGTGTTAGCTGCTACCCCATCTTCTGGGTCACTGATTCCATCCTCTGCTCCAGCTGATGATCTGTTGATTCCCTCCAGTGTATTCTTCATCTCAGATATTGCATTCTTTAGCTCTGGTTGGTTCTTTTTAATATTTCCTATCTTTGTTGAAATTCTCAGAATTCCTTCCTCCTTCTCCCACGTTCACCGAGGCGCCTCATAACCAGTGTTTTGCGCTCTGTAGGGGGTAGGTTGTTTGTCCATTTTGTTTGGTTCTGTCCTTGAGGTTTGTCCTGTTCTTCATCTGGGACATGAGCTAATCTCATTTGGGTGGACGCTCCATGTAGTAGGCAGATGTGCTGTGTCTCTCAGTCTTACAGGTGTCCTGTGGGCCAGCGGAGCAGCCCCCTTAGCCACCCGGGCCGGTTCTCCAGGGGTGTCCTTGTGTGGTGGCACGTGCCCTCCTGCTGGAGCTGGGCTTTGCCGCTGCAGGCACTGTGGTGGCGGCTCGCCCGGGCTGACTGGCTGCGCGGGCTGCAGCTGTCGCAGAGGAGCACTGTGTGGGGACCGGCCCCCAGAGCCGTTCCTTCACAAGGGCTGGTTGGGTGGGCATCTGGTGTGGCCTGAGCCAGCCTCCAGGTGCGTGCGGTCTGAGTCCTGGGAGGGCCCCGGCGTGGGTGGGGCTGCCTGGTGGGAGCTGCAGTGCTCCCCAAGACTGGCTGCCGCTGTGTGGGGCTTGCCGCCCTCCCTCTGAGGGAACCTGCAGCGGGAGCTTCTGCCAGAGGTTCGGGGTGCGAGAGGGATGGGGCGGCCAGGCTAAGGGGGAGCACGGGTTTGTGTCCACCTGCGCGGGCATCGGGGGAGGGAGGGAGCGGCACAGAGGAGCAGCGGTGTCTGCGCTTCGTCCTGGGGAAGGTTCCCGGCCCTCGTCCCAGCCCTCACCCTGGACTTGGGCACCCGAGCTCCCCCCTGGAGTCCCTGGTGCCGCTCCAGCCGCTCCCCTGGCTGGGCCTGAGAGTGGGGCCCAGCCAGGGGTGGGCCTCCTCTTCCTGGCATTGGTGTCCTGTTCTGGGAGCCCTGCCTGGGCTGGGACGCCCTGCTCCTCGGGAAGGGGGCGGACCCCTGCAGCAGAGACATGGCTGTCACATGTCTCGCCCCTGCGGGGTCTCCCGTGGCCTCTTTCTACCTGAATTCCGGGTGTTCTGCTCAGCTGGTCTCCCAGGGGCTCATTTTTGTAAGTTTGATGTGGTTGCGGGAGGGAAGCTGTGTATCTACTCCGTCACCTTGACTCCACCCGAGAATGCCCCCTATTAACATTGATTCACCCCCACCATGTTCCTGAGGATTAAGATGACCCAGAGCTGGGTGTGAGGCGCATTGGGAAGCTGAGCCACCAGACTAGGCAGGGGCTCAGGAGCAGTTTGAGTCCTGGCTGTGGGTCCCCATGTGCAACGGCAGGTCCCCCAACCTGCCGGCCCCCAAC